GTGTGTGTGCACTTAGGATGGGTTAAATGCAGAGCACTAATTCCTAGTATGGGTAACCATACTTGGCCACGTCACGTCACTTTCACATCAGCTATACAGACGTTTATATGTTTAATGTTTAACGTTATATTCATTGCATACATATACTTCGTAGTAGACATCCTTAACTCCATTCTACTGTCTGTTGTTCTGTTGTAGGTGTTTCTTTGTCTGAATATGGCACTGATCACATGCTGTGTGGTATCTGCGTTTGGTATCGAGGCATTTTAACGAGTACGAGTACAGGAGCTCAGTATCGGTATCGGTGCATCCCTACCAAAAAGCATTGCCGTAGCTAATGCAAAGTTGGCCAAGCCTTGCAAGACGTTCTGGCCTTTAAGGACAATCCCGATGTCCTGAGATCCGTCATGAAATTTAAGGACGTAGATTCCCACTGTGGTGGTCTCATTGGATTTTTGGATGAAGGCTTCGTCAGCAGTCTGCAGAATGCACAGACAAAATTAGATTTAACAGAACATTGGGCACTTCTCTGGGAATATTATAAAAAAATGTAATTTCAATCAATTAATAATGTAGATCTAATGAAAAATGTGAACTTGTATATAATGAGAACAAGACAAGGCCAAGAAAATCACGTGACGCGGGGTAAATTTAGTTCCGCTATGCTCTTTTCTCAAATATCCCTTCTTACCTTTTCTGTTTTGTCCGTTTTCCTATTTGCTGTTGTATAATCTACAAATAAATTATTTTCTACTTGTTTGTAGCTTATACGGCCACTCAGAACGTTGCTCGAATTTACTGGCAGGTGGTTTTATTTCACCAGCTGTCATACAGTATAGGCTACAGCTACTCATTCAACAAATCCCCTGCTCGCTTTTTTTTTAAATGTAAAACCATATTAGAGGATATTAGAGGTAGAAGACATTATAAGACTACGCCAATAAAAAAAATAAATAATATTAATAATATAAAGAAACAAATATACTAATATTAATGAAAATACACTATTCTTAAAAAGGTTATTTATCACACTATTGAGGTCCTATATAGCACTTTCAAAGCATGGTTCTTTATGCGAAGCGTCAGCAGTCTGCAGAATGTACAGATTCAAAACAGATGTAAAATTAGATTCAACAGAACATTGGGCACTTCTCTGGGAATATAATAAAAAATGTAATTTCACCATTCTCTAACGCGTGCGTCTATTTGTGCCTGAACTGACACATACATGCAGAAAAATAGTTAAAATGCACGTAAAAGATCATCTATTCTCGTAAACACATTGATTATGGCTTAGGTGAACTAAACAATTGAGAAAGAAAACCGGATATGTAACAGTAATTTGGATCCACGCCGCGCATTCGGCTTTAAAGTGAGAGAAGCCCCTCCTGCTTACTGTCGTGAATGTTAATCAAACAACAAAAGACAAAGATAAAAATCACTTTAGTAGTTTTAACACAGATTAATTATATTTAATTTATACAGTGAAGACTATGAGTGTTATTAGTGAAGACTAATAACACTGTTATTTTACATTTGATTATTCAGTTTCTGTACCTGAATTCTGTTAAACTCACCTGAAATATATAAAGCATTATTTATTTAATTTTGCATCTTTGTTCTATTATATTTATCTATGCTTGTAATGTGTTCACTATTTTCTATGCGTATTCACTCACCTACAAAATCACCCCAATCATCCTAGAATGATTCATTCTTTCCAAATGTAGCTATTCAAGTCATATGGTGAATTTTTTCATATTGCAATATATATATATATATATATATATATATATATAGCAGAAAAACAAAATATCACAATGTCAGCTTTTTCCAATATCGTGCACCCCTATTTCTTAAAGTATTGCAATATATTGTATCATAACCCCTGTATTGTGATATGTATCGTATTGCCAGATTCTTGGCAATTCACAGCCCTATTTCATTATACAAAACCTCAAAGAACAAAATAATCAAATATCCATGGCATGACCCCTTTAAACAACCAAAAACTAAGGTAAAATGACACAAGTATAAATAAGTAGGATTAAAGGGGTCATATGATGCTTTTTTAAAGATCATTATTTTGTGTATTTGGTGTAACAGAATATGTTGACATGCTTTCTTTGTTCTATTATATTTATCTATGCTTGTAATGTGTTCACTATTTTCTATGCGTATTCACTCACCTACAAAATCACCCCAATCATCCTAGAATGATTCATTCTTTCCAAATGTAGCTATTCAAGTCATATGGTGAATTTTTTCATATTGCAATATATATATATATATATATATATATATATAGCAGAAAAACAAAATATCACAATGTCAGCTTTTTCCAATATCGTGCACCCCTATTTCTTAAAGTATTGCAATATATTGTATCATAACCCCTGTATTGTGATATGTATCGTATTGCCAGATTCTTGGCAATTCACAGCCCTATTTCATTATACAAAACCTCAAAGAACAAAATAATCAAATATCCATGGCATGACCCCTTTAAACAACCAAAAACTAAGGTAAAATGACACAAGTATAAATAAGTAGGATTAAAACTTTTGGGTTATGCTCACCAAATTCACAGATGCAGATCATTCAAAGCAGTTTACAAAAGCTTTGAGCAGAAAAACATTACGTAAATGCAACCACCTAAAAAAAATCTCCTTTGAATAATACTTCTATTACATATATTTTACTTATAAATGCTAAACCTTCAATTAATTTCATTAACCAAATAACTTAATTTCGACGTGTATAGCCTGTCTATACAGATACAGCACATACAAATGGAAAAAACTAAAATTAAGTTAGAAATAAAATTAAATAAAAGATTGGAATACTCACCACTTCTACTTAACAGCCAGCATACAAAGCAAAACAGATGTCAAACTGGAGGAACAAGGTGATAAAAGACAAGACATTAAAAACAAGCCATTTACTAGCTTTTTTTAACAGTAAAACTAAATGTAAACCAAGACAGTGGACTATAACACTATGAATGGAAGAAAAGTGCAACACGCAATATGTTTGCTTGCAAAACTTGACTGTCCAATTAAAATTGACACATTTTTTACATGAGAATTGTAATTTGTTACTACCCTCAGGGAGACGTTTGAGGACTTTGATGTGCAAATCAAATCGCTACAAAAATTATTTTGTGCCAACTGCGGTTAAATTATTCAATAGAGAATTGCAAAAATTAGATGCTTTACTGGTATACTATAGCTTTTAATTTGAGCTTGTGTGAGTTTTATGTGAGTTTTACATTGTGTACTGGCCAGGCCATGCTTGTCCATGATGAATTTCCCTGAAATGGGAAAATAAAGTGTATTCATATTAACCACTATAGAGACATCAGAGCCAGTGGCAGAAGATCTGTCTGAGGTGAGGCTGCTCTCGGCGGGTTCATGAGCGATGAAAGGCCGCTGACGCTGGAGCTCACATCTCCGAAAACATCTAAGCAAATTTTCAAATAGACGTTATCTGTATTAACAAACTGCATATTTGAAGTCTAAACAAGTACATTCTCACCTAAAAAACTCTTAAAAAATACATTACGTGACACAAAAACAGTTATTTTTAGAATTATAGTGGATTTGGGTGTCTGCCATGACACTCGCTGTGAGAAATACAGGAAGCGGAGTGATACAAATGGTGAAACGGTTGGAAGAGTTCAGTTATCACTCTAATATCACACTCTTATCAGCCAATCAGATTCGAGGAGCAGAAAGAACCGTTGTGTATATATATACATATGTATATAAGCTAAAGAATACCAATAATTGCTCAGATATCACCCATTATGCACTAATCTACACTGCTCTTTTTCTCTCTCTTGCAGTTGGTGGTGCGACAGTGCAGAGAAAAGCAGAATTGGAGAATCTTGCAGTGGCCTTTTTGTCCCTTCACTGGATCTAATTTTACACAATCAGTGTAATCATACCCAAAAGGAAGAGTAAAGACATTTTTCCTGTCATCTGTAAAAATGGTGGGGTATAGTTTTAGGATCTGCAAGAGCTGCTTTGGGAAGCGAGGAGGCCATTTAAAGTTTATCCATTACCTCTTCATAATAGTCTTCTGTATCTCCCTGCTAGCTTTACTCTTTATTGACGTAATCGAATTGTGGGTAACCTCGCTAGGAATGAGCAGAGCGATAGGTCCTCACGGAGTAGTCCTTCCACACAGTATACCCCCGACCCGTTCCGAAGAGTACTTGCTTATGCCTAGCATCCACGTCTGCCAGCGTGCCGAACCATACCTTATCATTTTGGTGGCAACCGCACCTCACAACAGAAAGGCCCGCCAGGCCATTCGTGACACCTGGGGTGGGGAAGTACAAGTCAGGGGTCACCGAGTCATGACCCTCTTCATTGTAGGTCAGCCATATGACCCAGTTATTGGCAAAGAATTAATAGAAGAGTCAAAGGAGCGTGGGGACCTCATACAGGGTCGCTTCATTGACTCCTATGGCAACTTGACCCTGAAAACTCTGTCTATGTTGGGCTGGGCACGCCGTTTCTGTCCACAGGCTCACTACCTGGCTAAGGTAGATGATGATGTATTGTTCAACCCTAGTGCACTGCTGCAATATCTCAACCTCAGCTTTAAAACGGCAGAAAACGAACTCACAGAGCTTTATCTGGGCCGGGTCCATATGCAGGTAGCACCGGACCGCAATCCTGCCAGCAAACACTTCATGTCGGAAACTGCATACGCTGGTATGGTATTTCCTGATTACTGCAGTGGAACAGCATACGTACTTTCTCGGCCAGCTTTGCTGAAGCTGTCACTAGCAGCTGTTTCCATACGTTTACCCAGACCGTTGCCCCCAGAGGATGTGTTTGTAGGTATCTGCGCTCATACAGCAGGCATTACACCTACCCATTCGCCACTCTTCTCTGGAGGACCAGCTGTACCATACAGTCGTTGTTGCTATCAAACGATGGTGTCTGTCCACCATACCAAGCCAGGGGAAATGGTGCACTACTGGAAGGAAGTGCACTCTACTGCCCCATGTTCATGGTTGGGTATGCGGACATCTCTTGGTGTCTGTAAAATTAGAGCACTTCTTGGGACACTGTTGGGGAAAGACTCCTAAAATGAAGATACATTAAATCTGAGAAACCTGTAGGAAAGTAAAGTATTATGAAAAAACTAAAAAAGCACAAAGGATATTATTTGGTGAAACTATGCACTGCAACATCATTTTGTTATTATAAAGCACTTGAATTTATTCATGTGCCTTTCATGATCAAATTTTTATGCTCAAAGTGGGCTGTTATCAACCGGTACGCAGTTCTGGCACTTCTATATTATAATCTTTAGCATACCTTCACTTTTTCTTGTGTACACCCACTTCTTATATGTAGTTGGTACTTTGCCACTCAGAGTCAAAGTGTCAGTGTCCGGGTGATTAGTAATAATACATTACATAAATTACACTACCCAAGAGGAGGCACTACGAGAATGACTCATCTCGACAAATCACATGAATGCAAGCAGAGTCTGTCTGATCTATTCATTCGGACCATGTGACGTCACTGTGCTTTATTGCTTTAACGTTAGCTAAATTAACATTAAATTCAGATTGTGCAGTAAAGCTAACGTTATCATTGACTCAAACGTACCTTGAGCTGATGTCAGTTTTAAATTTACAAGTAATCAGCGCCTTACATTATTATGGGCTTAACTGTTACTGTTACACTTGCTGTACCCATAGGATCCTAAAAATACAATCAAGTCCAAAGCACAGTGTGGGAAATGGTAGTAAAAGGTAATTTATTATTTTAATATATTATTATTTATGAAATCTCATTTAGATGTGCTGTGTTCGTTGTCATATCGGACACAAAAATGGCGGCGAGCATAGCGGAAGTGACGTCTTCGGTACCCATGGATTGCCGCTGAGGACACACACACACACACACAATAAATATCAAATCAGTTGTTTGGCAAATGGTTCCTATGGTAAATAAATGTATGATCTACCATCGATATCTCCTAGTATATATGTATATTTTTTTCCATTGTAGAAATTTCAAATGTGATAATGATTTGCATATGCCAGCCAGTGCACACCAGCACTTTATTTCCTAACTTCAAGCACTGAATACTATATAATAACATCAAATATAATGGGAACACGGCTTGGCCCAACAAAGAGGACAGTATGCACAGTGAAGACCAGGAGTCAAAAATGAATTTCAGTTGGCTGACAGAGAGTTTACTGAAGACTAAGTTCTCCGTATTTTCAAAGGTTGAAAAAATTAGTTTGAGGATCCAGTATGGCTGCAAGATAATAGTTGAACAGTTTTTTTAACCTTTATTTATATAGTGCTTTATACAATACAGATTGTGTCAAAGCAGCTTTACAGTATTAAGCAGGAAAACAGTGTGCCGATAATGCAAGAGGACAATAGTAAACACTCAATTTTTCAGTTAAAGTGGGTTCATCAGTGATGTCATCATCCAGCTCAGATCAGTTCAAATAGTAGCCTATCTATGCAATCAAGTCAATAATATTGCCAGAAATTGGCTTGCTTAGTTGGGGACACAAAAGCGACAGTGGCAATGAACCAAAACTCCATCGGTGACAGAAATGGAAATAAAAAACCTTGGGAGAAACCAGGCTCAGTTGGGGGGCCAGTTCTCCTCTGGACAGACTAAACCAGCATGGTGTCGTTTAATTCGAGGCTGCAACACAGGTCAGATTGTTCAGAGGACTCGTCTGGTTCCCGTAGTCTTCACAGGGGATCTGTCTCTGGAGCTCATCTAGTTGTCATGGTGTCCGCTGACGTTCAGGGATGTAGAGGTCGTCTCTGGGTGCTGATCCACCATCTGATCTGGATACAGACTGGATCCGTATGGCTCTGGTGACCTCATAATAAGAATGAAACAGACTAATATTGGTGTAGATGCTACTCTTTTTACAATGTAACAAGTTCAGCGGGTGTTATGGGAAGTGTTCCTGGTTCCGGTTGACCTAATTACTGCAGCTGTGGAGGAATTTCATTTTTATATGAAATATTAATATTATTATTTGTATTATTTGCTTTGGTTTAAGCTTAGCAGAAGTATCCATTTGTGTGATGGGTTTGTGATGATTTCATTAGATTTACTCAAACTAGGACTGAGTGTTGATATAGATTTCATGATTTGAAATAATTTAGGTAAATGTAATTTGAAAAGAGGAAAATTACTTAATGCTGTAGAATATAGGGATTCTTACTAGATACATCTATGTAAAAATAATATGTTTTTGAAGAATCTTGAGGGTTTTTAAGATCCTAATGCAGATATTACAATTCTAAATGCTATAGTTTTTAATAGCTGACAGGTAATTTTTGTCCTTCATCTTAAGGTTTTATAATGATTTCAGATTATAGGGATTTTTGCTTCAGTAAAGTGGGTCAGGTTATTCCTAGACATAGTACTGAGGAAAAACATAGTGATGACTAAAAATAAAGACATTATTTCATATTTCAGCATGAGAATGTGTGGTAAGTCACTTTACCGAACAAAGTCTGAATATTCTTGCACAATCCGATTGAAGCTTGCAATCCAGCGCAACAGGAAGTAAAACCCGTGTTTGTAAGAACTCTTTAGAGTGGTGAGATTATAATACAACATGCAAATTGACATACGAGAATTAAACCAAGTTATGTAGGAGTTTAGAGTTAAACCTTAGACAAAGAGAAATGTGGCCCGTACAGGTTGAACCAGAAATATGAATTTGGGTAGTTCTGACATCCCAGCAGAACACAGAGTAATTGCTCATACAGCAACATTTTTGAAAAGCATTTTAAGTTTGCAATGCAGTTACAGATTTGATAATCTGGATCAACAGATCCATTATGAACTAGTCTGCTTCTCCAAAATCATACAAATTGTCTCTAAGCTGGTTTAAAAACAGAGACATGTCCATTGGTTGACTCTGGAAAATAAGATTGTAGAGAGGTAGTTGATTAAAGATAATGCTGTTCTCATGGCAAGAAAGGTATTATATTGAGTTGATTTAAAATCTATAACTTTTTCTGGTTAGGGAAAGGTCAAGTAAAATTGTCACCCACTTACATTAAAAGCCAACAAACATGACTGAGAAAAGGACAACACATGGTTTTGGATGGGAAATTGTGCAGAACATTCTGCATATTGAAGGAAAATGCATGTGGTGGTCTTGAATGACCTGAACCACATTGCAGGATTAATTGGATCCTCACTGGATATTTCTTATTGCATTAGAGTTTGTCTAGAAAATTTGATCAAAGGTATTATTATAGTTAGACAAAGCCAATATGTTCAGATGATCTACTATACACCTCAGAGGAGGACATTCTATTAAGAATAAATGCATGAAGAAATAAATTGAGGGTTCTAGCAGGTCTTGCCCATGGTTTGAGACTGAGCGAAGAAGTGTGTAAATAGAAGTGATAACCAGTTTGCTTTATGATTATGAGATATCTATGTCTTATGAAAAAACAGTCTGATTTATGACCTCTGGTGGAAAACATGGAAAGAACATTTTCAGAGAGTGTGTAAGATGTTATTTTATCTTCCATGGTTATCGAAGCATGATAAGAAAAAAGTGGGAAGTGTGGAGGAAATGTTATTTTTATATGAAATATTAATATTATTATTAGTATTATTTGCTTCACTGTACTAAAGAGTGTTCTTTAGACTGTCTCTGAGTGCTTCAGTTTCAGTTTGTTTCAGTATGCTTGTGTTTTCGATGAGCTGAGAGATAACAGGAAATCTATTTGATGTTTACAGATGCATTAAGAGCCGGGGTATGTGCAAGACAAGTGTGAGACAGAAATGTTATTTTAGCTTTTTAGAAAATGATTTGCATTAAATACTTAGAAACGCATCCAGGGGGGACATTGTTGGACACCTTAAATCTTGAGTATGCATTATGATTGGATGAGATATAAGCATCCTGATTAGATTTGGGTATAAATACTGGGTCAAGGTGTTTTTCTCTTTGTCGCACTCTGCAGTCAACTTGGATGACTGTATGACTGTTGAACTTTTCTTGCAAGAAAATAAATCTTCAAAAGACTTTTGTCTTATATCTCTATTGAAATAGAAAATTGCCATGACCGCAGTCTAACAATCCTTTAACGGATTTGAATTATAGAAATGTGATAGTGTGTTATGTGTAAACCAGGTTAAAGAGATGGGTCTTTAATCTAGATTTAAACTGACTAGTAAGAACTCCAGCTGCTGCATTTTGGACCAGCTGGAGTTTATTAAGCGCGCAGAGCAACCACCCAATAAAGATTTACAATAATCTAACCTTGAGGTCATGAATGCATGAATTAATGTTTCTACATTTGACATTAAGATCATAGGTCATAATTTAGATATATTTTTAAAATGGAAAAATGTAGTTTTACAAATGCTAGAAACATGGTTTTAAAAGGAAAGAATGCTATCAAATTGTACACCTAAGTTCCTAACTGATGATGAAGAATTAACAGAGCAGCCATCAAGTGTTAGACAGTGGTCTAGGTTATTATATGCAGAGGGTTTTGGTCTGATAATTAACACCTCTGTTTTTATTTTGTTTTTTGTTTTTTCAGAATTTAGCAGTAGGAAATTACTAGTCATCTATTTTTTTATATCAACTATGCATTGTTAGTTTTGCAAATTGGTATGTTTCACGGGCCGCGAAGAAATATAGAGCTAAGTATCATCAGCATAACAGTGAAAGCTAACACCATGTTTATTGATGATATCTCCCAAGGGTAACATGTAAATCGTGGAAAACAACGGTCCTAGTACTGCGCCTTGTGGTACTCCATACTGCACTTGTGATCGATATGATACCTCTTCATACACTGCTACGAACTGATGATGGCCAGATAATTATGATTTGAACCGTGCCAATGCAATTCCACTAATGTCAAAATAATTTTCTAGTCTATTCAAAAGAATGTTGTGGTTGATAGTGTTGAACGCAGCGCTTAGATCCAGTAGCACTAATAGAGAGATACAACCAAGATCAGATGATAAGAGCAGGTCATTTGTAACTCTGATGAGAGCAGTCTCAGTACTATGATACGGTCTAAATCCTGACTGGAAATCCTCACAGATACCAGATAACTTTATTTTAGCTCTGATTAGGGGATTTAAACTCATGATATTTGGCATTTGGAACCATGAAAGCCTGTGGAGACTTGTTACCAATGCAAGATAATGCTCATGCCAAATGAAAATGAAATATGTTCAGGATAAATAACCAGCGGGCAAATATCACAGGCAATTATGCTTAATAAATCAGTGATCATGATTAAAATACGATTTATTTTGCAGCCCTAGTATCCAGTCCTGAAATACATGATACTTAAAATACAGAGACTCTTGTACTTACAAACATAAACAAAATCAACTTTATTCCTACAAATTCTAAAGATTATCATAGATTAACAGTACAATTGGGGCGTTTCGTCCATTTAAGCTGCAAATGCTCTGCCATTTGAGAGAATGATTTCAGGTAACAGTTAATTAATATTAACATTACTAGAAATTCCCTTGCCATTTAAAGTGTAACAAAGCTTACATAATAAAATGTTTGGAATATATCAAATTATTTATTTATTAGTTTTAGTTTTTTTTTTTTTTTTTTCAACTCTGTGCCAGTGACGGAGGGCTTTAGGTAAGCGGATCCACAAAAGCTTTCGTGCTTCCACTCTATTGCTATAAATGGTGATTGTTGCACTGGGCTGTTGGTCTGTGGGCTGTTTCATGTAAAAGGAAAGTTGGAAATCAGGTTCAACCTGGGGTTGTATTGTTGTTGTGGGCCCCTATAAACCTCTGGGGTCTATGCACTCTGTCCCCCTTTTCCCCTGTTGCAACACCTCTGTAAATGATACAATACTAACTCAACTAAAAAAAATAAAAATAAACAAAAATAAACAAAACAAAAATAAAATAAATACAAATTTTACACTTTTTTTTTTTTTTACACTTACACGTGTGCCTGTAGATTCAGTGAAGGTATGTGGCGTTAGGAGAAGATCTCAGGGAATTGAGGGAATTGAAAGAGTTCCTCCCAACTCTTCTGTTGTCCAAGTACAAACTGTTGCCAAAGCGCTAGGACCTAAAGATATAGAGAGACTATCCCAGAGCTTACCTTCCGCACGCACAAATTTTTCTGAATTTAGAAGAGCATTGATCAGCAAAATGCATCTCTACGACATGTCGTTAGCAGAAGTCACACAGCTGATGTCACAAATTCTAACTGAATCTGAATTCAACAGTTTTGAGTCTGCTGTTACTTCTGAACTACAACATGCCAGTAAAGACGATTTGAGAG